TTTTTTTTTTTTATTAGTATATTTTTCTCTCAGTAGAAAGGAAAATTCTAGTCGCAAGATATATAAGTGAAGAGTTCTAAGAGTAATCAGTTCATCTTATTTCTATAAAAATTGAGATTCTTACTGGTCTTCTAGTTTCCACTTCATGGCACAGATAATAATAATTAAATGGTGGAAAAAATGATGGCCTTTGTCGACGAATCAATGCACTGATAAGATTCCATGTATTTAATCACATTCAATTACATGGAAATATCATAACATCTTTGACTTAATTTTTTGGTGAAAATGTCATTCTGCTAGTTGCTGCTAACTGTTAAAAGTGGATTAAAACTCTGTTCATGGTTTATCTAAATCGTTGAATCTCTGATTTGCAGATTATTTCTAACTCTATAATTGTGACACATACATTCGAATTATGCTTAATTTTTTTTCATATTTATACAATTTCGTTGGAAAGCAGAACATTCTGCATCTTATGTAATTTGGATTATGTGCTTCAAAATGTAAAAATGTAAAAAATGTCAAAATCAATGTTGAAGATTAATGTTACTCTTGAAGGTATGATAATAATAAAATATAATAGATGAAATAGTTGATAAAAAAAGTCGCTAACAATCAAAGTCATTGATGTCAATGAAAACTACAGAAAAATTATTATTTTACACCAAAGATTGCAGCAAATAATACTTATGCTATTATATTGAATAAAGATCTATAGAAAATGTAGTTTCTTGATAGCAATCTTACAACTTAGCTATTTTACATCCATTAATCACTTCGTAATCTCATCCCTTCTAATTTTCTAAATTGAAAAAAAAAAAAAAAATGTTCTCTAAAAAAATCATTGTCAATCCACATGATAATAACTTCTTGTGCAAATCTACACAAAGCTGATAGTAAAAGAAAATCAAGCTATAGAAAATGTAATTTTTCTGTAAATAGTGCCTTTCACTATCACTGCCATAGTTTAAATAAAAAAAAAAAAAACTGTTGTATTCTTTGATATATGACCTATTTCCAACGATACTGTCGCATAATTCAGTCTAAATAATATAATTCGCAGTGACACCATTCGGCCCGAAGAGGTTAGGTTTAGGTTAGATTTCAGTATAAAAAAAAAGGGTTTTTAGGTTTAAAAAAAAATAGGTTAGGTTATACAGTACCTTCAGTACCTTCAGTACGCAGCTGCTCGAGGAATCAAAGGTTTCTCCAAGTAGCTGCATGTACCGAGATAGGCGTGCACGCTGCTTTCATGCGTGTAAGCACGGCTAAAAGCCATTCTAGCACCTGCGGGTGGTCCTCCACATACCGCGAACTTGTAGCCAATCAATTTCCGTACATCCTGGCAATTTCCATAAACTGGCCGTTGATCTCGAGTAGAAGGCAGTGGCGCTGCTGTTGCCTCGTTTTGCTTTTGCCGCGCGTGTTGCGCGCGTGTACACACGTTGGTTGCATTGCCCCCTCGGCAGAGGGACATCCGCCTTCGTTTTATCGCGCACAGCCGTGGCATTCCATTCATCGGTATAATGCACAGGCAACGATTGCTTCGTTTGTCGCGTATTAATCGCCGGCGAAGGCTTACACCAACCGATCTGCAATTTGTTGCGCGATAGCTAAAGAAGGTTGCTTCTCCAACAGATCATTATCGGTTGCTTGTTACTTTGGACAATTAGTTGCGCCGTTCTCTTTTCAATCCGTTTGAAGAAAATCAAGATTTATCAATAGACGTGTCAAATTTTTACAATTAACACGTTCCGTGCCATGTGTACCACCGGTGGTACACGTTAAACTT